TCAAATGGGACTTCCAGTCCTAATTCTTTGAGGTATCTCCATACTGATTTCCACAGTGGCTGAACCAGTCAACACTCCCACCAGCAGTGGAGCAGGGTTCCTCTTTCCCCACAGCCCTGCCTGCATTTGTTATTGGTTGATTTCATGACAGCAGCCATTCTTTCTGGGCTGAGGTGGAATCTCAGCATTGTTTTCATTTGCATCTGTTGAATGACCAGCGATACTGAACATTTTTTCATATGTTTATTTGTTATTTTTACTTCTTTGTCTGAGAAATGTCTGTTCACTTCAGATGCCCATTTTTGGATTGGATCTTTAAATATGGGAGGTCTGATTTTTTAAAGTTCTTTATAGATTCTAGATAGTAGGCCTTTGTCTGAGGAACAGCAGATAAACATTTTTTTCCCACATTGTGGGTTGTCTCTTCACACTGCTGGTGGTTTCTCTTGCTGTGCAGAAGGTTACATTAGCCAAAGCAATTACACAAGAGAAAGAAATAAAAGGAATAAAGATAGGAAAGGAAGAAGTCAAATTGTCATTATTTGCCGATGACATGATACATACTCTATATAGCAGACTCTAAGAACTCCACCAAAAGTCTTCTAGACTTAATAACCAAATTCAGTCAAGTAGCTAGATACAAGGTCAACACACAAAATTCAATAGCTTTCCTCTACATGAACAACAGACTCACTGAGAGAGAAATGGGACAATTACTTTCACAATAGCATCCAAAAAACTGAAAGACCTAGGAATCAACCTAACAAAAGAAATCAAAGACCTCGTCTCTGAAAACTATAGCACTCTGAAAAGTGAGATTGAAGATGATATCAGAAAATGGAAAGACATCCCTTCCTCCTGGGTAGGAAGCATCAACATAGTGAAAATGGCCATACTTCCAAAACTGCTATATAGATGCAATGTAATCCCAATTGAAATCCCAACAGCATACTTCATGGACCTTGAGAAAACAATGCAAAAATTAATTTGGAATAAGAAGAGACGTAGAATAGCAAAAGCAATTCTAGGCAACAGAGACATGGCAGGGGGTATCACAATCCCCAACTTGAAACTATACTACAAAGCTACTGTGATA